TGGCTGGTATTTGAGAGATGCAGGAACATTGGGGATGGATGGGGGAAAAGATGAGAGTGAACTGGGGGTGGCGGAAAGAAAGGAAGGAGAAAAACCGAAAGGAGGAGAAGTGAAAGAGGAGGGAGAGAAGAAGAAAAAGAGGAACATGTAAGGAGAAGAAGCAAGAGAGAAACACGTAAGGAGGAGGAAAAGAAGAAGAAGAAGAAGAAGAAGAAGAAGAATGGGGGTGGGAGGTAAGGAGGAGGTGTAAAAGAAGGATCGAGAGAAAAAGGAGGAGGAAAAGAAGAAGAAGAGAAGAAGAAGATGAACGGAAAGAACAAAGGAAGGCAGAAAAAGAAGAAGAAGAAGAAAAAAGAAGGAAATGAAAAGAACGATCGAAGTAAGGCAGAAAAAGAACAAGAAAATAAAAAACAGTAGTGTTGACCCGACCTAACACCTGTGTCCCTCTCTCCCCGCAGTGAGAAATCTGCAGCGACTGGGTACCCACGCGGGGAATGACGCCATCGTGGCGTTTGCCAAGCTGCACGGCGTCAACGTAGTCATCCATCAGCTCAACGGGAAACCCCTGCTGGTGAGTCAATGTCGTCATGTCGGGTTGTGTGTCTGTTGGTGAGTCACTGAGTCTGTAAATGGGAGATTGTTACCTTGTATGTGTGGGTGGTTGGCGGGTGCTCTGGTGTGGTTTGCTCCTTCTTTCCTATCAAACATCTATCGTCCTTATCTCTCCTTCTTCTCTTTCGTGCTTGTTACTCTCTTGTAACACCTCTAATCTTCTGGCGCTCATATGACCTTGTGCAGTTGCGAGCGCCGTAAAACTTCTACTAAAACGAAGAGGATTGTAGTATGTCTGTAGGAGAGTCAGTATGTGTGAGTTTGTATGTCTGTGAGAGATTCAGTATGTGTGAGGTATGTCTAGTGGTTGGTCAGTTTAATGTATGAGGCTGTTTGTCTCTTGGTGATTCACTGAGTCAGTAATGTGAGGTTGTATGTCTGTGGGAGAGTCAGTATATGTGAGGCTGTCTATTGGTGGGTCAGTATAATATGTGAAGTATGTCTATTGGTGAGTCAGTATAACATGTGAAGTATGTCTATTGGTGGGTCAGTATAACATGTGAAGTATGTCTATTG